TTTCTTTTTTTTTCCCCCCTTCACAGCTCAGGCTTCAAAATGTACTTCTGACGACATGGGCTGCCATGCTCAGGAAATAGTAAATAGAACCACTGAGTATTGTAAATGAGTGTGGGTTTGGTTTTGGTTTTTTTTTTTTCCCTCAGCCGAAGTGCCGAGGGGAGATCAGACTGCAGGGTATCAGCTAACGTCCATGCCCTTTTTAGCTTTCCTTTGAAACGGAATGGAAAACCAGTGTGGTTTCTACAGGGGCGGCGTCGGTCGGCAGCCCGACTACAATGGGATTTGTTCTTGCGTAGTCTTGTGAGCTCGTAAAGCTTCAGCCTTCCCTCCTGCTTAGACTAATCATTGAAGTTGTCGGGCTAGATGCTGGATTGCCACCCGGGGTCCCTGCTGAGGAAGGATACAAAGTCTTCCTTTGAAGACTTACACGTGGAGGTCAGACCTAGAACCCACAGCAGCTTGGAAAGTGATTGTTGGGGACAGACATAAGAGATTTGGCAGCCTGGCTTATGGAGCACGGTTTGCAAAGCGGGACCCGATTGCTGCGCGGCCCCCGTGCGTGCTCAGGCACAGGTAAGCAGAGCAGCTCCTGTGGGTTGAGCGGGTCGGTCGTAAACGGGGATGACCGCTCCTCTGCCAGCGGCGAAGGGATCCGTATTTGAAGAAAAAAAAACGTTTCAGCTTTCATTTCCCGGGTGGAAGGATTTGCTTGGCTTGGCTGAGCCAGCAGCCTGGAGCAGACGTCTGTCTGCTTTGCATCCTGCCCAGAGGTCATCATTTTCTATTTTGGTTAAAAGAGCATCTCGGGGCCAGCTCGCCTGGAAAGTCCTTCCTGAAGCCTTAGATGCTCGGAAAAAAGGTATCGGGAGCATGTGGGAGCCGTGTGCTGAATCTCTGCCACCCGCATCTCTCATTAAATGCCAGAGAGCGGGTCATTTGGAACTGGGACGATAAAATACTTGAAATAGATCTTTCTGGGCACTCTAGATTTCGTGCTGTCTGGACATTGTGGTGGCAATCCCCCGGTCTTCTTTTAAAGGTCGTCTTCTGTTACTGCAATGAGACTTGTGAAGCTGCAGCGATGTACGTGCTTTATCCAGCATTGCTGGAGGGATGGCGGGGACCATCTCTAAAGATTTTTTCCCACCCCGTCCTCTCTGGTGCCTAGGGTGATTTTTGTAGGTTTTCATGCAGGCACTTCCAGTCACTTTAGTGGGATATGATCCGCACCGGTGGACAGCTCGGTCCTGTCGTTTTGTCTCTAGATCTGGGGTTTGCGTACGAATTGCTGTTCTGAATCGCATCGGAGGTCTGTCTGTCCCAATAACCCCTAGTAATCACGGAGAGCAGTCGCTATGGAAAGAGTAAGGAATTGGGGATACCTGTCACGCTCCCTCTGACTTCATCAGCCAGTGGTTGTACCTAGGCCATGGAGTTCGTGGCCTCCAGGGGACCTGCCTTTCAGGAGCTGGTCTAATCCTCTTCTCAGCCTATTTTTGCTTTTGGGCCCCCGATACCCTGCGGCAGGAAGGCCAGCAGTTTAACGATGTGGTCCCTGCTTGAGATCTCCTCTCTGGTTACTTCACCTGACGCCTGCCCCTCACCCCGTCTCTCTCATGCTGGATCTTGCGCTGGGGGAAATCCTTCTTCCTTAGCTGCCTCCACACCAGTGCTCGATTCGGTGACTTGTTGTGCTTCAGGCCATGCAGTTGTCTCTTCTAACCTTCTCTTACTCTTCCAGTTCAAATTTGTGGGCCTGCAGAACTTCCCCTGCTCCTCGGACAGCCTGTGTAAGGTGCTGGCTATGGACTTCCCCTTCGAGGTGAGAACACGCAGGCGGGGGCCTGGACCTCAGCCTTAGAGACAGCCCCGCTGCGCATCTGCCAGTGCTTGGAGGGAGGCGCAGCCCCTTCGTTTGGGAACTGTGCTCTCCTGAGGCCTGCGGGAAGCTTGCTGAGCTGCGCTGTCGTTTCCGTGTATGGGGGATGGCTGCCTTTTTTTATGCACGTGGCTGATCTGTTACCCTGTCACCAGGTACAGGCCGCGTCCAACCAAAACTCACTAGCGAGAGTTAAACGGTAGTGGTCCCTGTGTTTGGGCTGCCTTTACTGCTGTTGACTCTTGTCTGAAAGAGCCCTTGGGGAAGAGAGGGTTGATGCGGACACCCGGACCGCCTCCAGAAGCAGCGTAGCTCACATCCACGTGGCTCAGCGTGGACAGCTGACAGTTCTAAGGCCAAAGCTGGTACTGCCTCCTGCCCCGGGGCGGGGGGGGGGGGGGGGGCGGGGGGA